TATCTACAACCACTGTGTGTAAAATTGAATCAGTTTTGACTTTGCAACTCTTTTTGCTGGGATCAAAAATATACTGTGGCAGACTGCAGTGCCTGATACCATATGACAGGGCTGACAGACAAACACACACCCACACTCATTCCTACAGGCAGTTTAGAGTTTCCAGTCAACCTAAGCTGTATGTCTTTGGACTGTGGGAGGAGGCCAGAGTACCTGGAGAGAACCCACAGCAGGTACAGGGAGAACATGCAAACTCCACACAGAAAGGCATCGGTTCAGTCTGGGCTCAAGCCTGGAACCTTCTTGCTGTGAGGTGTCAATGCTAACCACTGCACAGCTGTACCACCTACACATAATGTTTTATATGCTAAATGATTTTATTGTTCCACTGCAAATTTGTTGTCTGCCACTGACTCTGATGCAAAGACCAAGGGTAGCCCAGTCAGTGGTGCATTTGTCAAACATGTAGGAAGAGTCTGTGCTGATATGACACTTAAAATGACATCTGTCCACAGTTAATTAAACCATGGTCTTACTGGCCCAAAATTTGAGACACAAACATCATGAGGTAGTAATCACCAAACAAAATTCATGTGGGCTAGACCGCAGGTTTACAGTCTGAAAGAAGCACCATGTAATAGCTCAGCTGCTGCACTGTCTGTAGGCTCATCTGAGCTCATGACAGTGTGCGCGCAGCCTTCTTCAGCAGGTATCAGCATGGTGGTCTTGGACTTTTTACCTGTGCTCTTTGACAACCACCACAGTTCAAGGATGAGGACTGAGCTGAAAACCATGTAAAATGTGACTCTGTAACCTCTTTGACACATACACTCCTCTCTGTTAATCTAACAGCATCTGAACATCTCAGCTTCATGTCTGAACCTAGTAACATGCATGTATCACTTTCTACACAACACAAGTCTGAACTGCATGCAGTAGTGTTAACAGATAACGTTAATAGGCCTACCAATCACAACAGTGGGTGTCTGCACACGTCTTTCTTGTATGGTTGAGTTGCTTTGCTTGCTAAAAAAATGTGGTTGTTGTGGCAATAACAGCAAAAACGTGAAAAAAAAATCTCAAACAAACTCATGTTCATCCACCTTGTTGTGGTAAGAAAACTCTGGCCTCATGCATTATACCTGACTTTGTGTGTGTGGCTCTTTTCACAGCCTCAAAAGGTATGTATAAATATCGGCCTTCAAATAATCTTATCAGTCAAACTTTATGCAGAAGTACACACAGACACACTCGCACACTACCACGTCTTGCTGTTTGGCTGCTGCAGAGGATTGGGCTGCTCCCTGTTCTCCCACTCCACCCATCAGTGGATAAAAATAATAAAACTAGGAAGCTGCCTATCCAAGGCCACTGTCCCATGAAAGGGCTTGCATCGCCCGTCCAAGAGCAATTACATCCCTGACACCCCAGTTGGCCGAGGAGCTATATATCTGAGGGGGCAGAAGGTGTCTGTCCTCTGAAACAGTTGAACTACAGCACCATAAGGTTTTGTTTAATGCTGACTGTGCTGGGGGGAACTGTATCGCTATCTTATTTGCCCTGTGGTATTCTCCTCTAATACTTACCAGATGGGCTGATGATCAGGAAAGCACTGCTGATGACTTTGACAGATTAATTTATGCTCAGACGGAACTTTATACTGTCCTGCTGAGGGACGTCACTAGCTTTAACAGGAAACTACACCAGTCAGAGATTGTTGCTCCAGACTTTACATCATACCTTTTATGCAGCCTATATAAATGATTCAAATAATATATTAAGTATAGCTATAAATGTTTCTCTTTCCACAGTCTTTTCTATCCAAATTAGCTTTTTTGGACAGTAGCACTACTGTTATTGCTTTCTTTGGTCAGAAGCATTTTGATGCAGGTACAGTTTCTATTTTCAACATCTATTAGGGAATATACATTTTATTTCCCACTCTACTGTTGTGTATGTGTGTATTTTTAGTTGCGTGATGTCCATAGACTCTTAATAGTATAATTATATCTCATGTATCTCATATTTTATTGTTTATGCATATTATAAGTATTTTTCTATTTTATTTACATGTTCTATAACAAAGAGCTGAATTACTAACATTTCTAGTTTTTTAGTTGTTATTGTTAATGTGACCTGTGGAATAAAGCCATTCAGTGAATTGGGGTGAGCCTTGCTATCCCATCCAGGAATTAAATAATAACCTGTTCTTCTATGACATCTTCCTGCCTGGAGGGGCCTTTGGGAGTCATCGACCCGGGCTGCACTGGGCCCTTGGAGCTGCAGGATAAGCTCACACAGCAGCTTCTAATTAAGCTGTAACAGTGACAGGTGGAGAGAAACAGGAGGGCTGGACGCTTTATGCAAGTGTGCAGTTATTTGTGCTGCCCCAAGGTCAGTGAGCACAGTAACGTTTCTCCACAGGGGCATACCTCCAGATACTGTATCATTTCAGAGGTGATTTAAAGGAGACAGTTTTTTATAACCATGTTGTCAAATGTTTATAATGTGCAATAAATGCCATGGTTGGCTGTGACCTCAATGCTTCTCCATACATTATAATGAGTCACTTTTAAGTGTTTTGCAGCAGAACTATAGAAGCCCTACACATAGTTATGTTATTCTCAATGTAAACACAAACACAGATGTGTCAAATGGCCAAATGACATTGTTTTAGGAAAAAAGAATTATGTGCCAACAAAAGCAAGAAGACTAACAGGAAACTACAGTGCAGATCAACCTCCACACCTTGACTAAACGCCCTCAGTGAACCAGTTCCTATGCTGACATACTGTACACATTATTGTATGGGTTAGGTATCAGATAGATTTAGCAGTGTTTTGCCCATTTACTACAAATGATTGTTATTTACAAGAATAGTTAGACATTTTAGGGCACTTATTTACTTTCTTGGCAAGGACTGGATGAGAAGATCTTTATCACTGTTACAACTAGCCACCAGTTAACTTGGCTCAGCACACAGGGAAAGAACCATCCTACAGAAAGTCTGGCATGAAACCACCGTAGACACTACAACTCGTCCTGATACATTTGAGATCTAATGTGTTAATTAGTGAGTGTTTCTGGTGCAGCTAGGTGCATTTTGCCCTCTTTGGAGAGAGTTGAGCTAACTGTTTCCTCAGTTTCCGGGCTGGGAGTGGTATCAGTTTTCTCATCTCATGCAAGAAGGTGATCAAGTGAATATTTTTCTTTCAAGACATGCTGCTGTTTTATATTTTTCAGGTAATTTCATTATGAAATGAAGCTTGCAGACATTTTAAATTTCCTTGACTAAGATAATCCATCACAGTGAACAGTTTGTCAACTTTTCATCTGCTGGCATTCATCCCTTAAGTACTTGTTGATTTTGGCACATAAAACTGACAAACTGTATTCCTGTGTGTATGTGTATATACACTGATTCTCACACAGCCCACGGTTCTGCTCTCCTGCTATCGTCTACAACATTAATTCATCAGCAGCTGTGTTTGTCTGGACACAGACTGCTAGGTGATATTAGCTATGACTGATCAACACCACATGTGGAATCCCAAACAGGGAAGTTTCCTACCAGAGCAGAGTGATGCCAAAGATCAGCCCTCAGTTTTCTGGATATCTGGACACTGATCTAAATGTACCAAACTTTGATCAATTGGTGTATTATTCATGTAAACTGAAATTAGTAACTCAACTTTCAGCTGCACTCAGTGGTGTTAGAGCGAGAGGAGGCATTGTCCAAACGTGATTTACACAGATTTACATTTTAAACATACAATTACATTTAAAGCATTGGTCTTTATGTTCTAACACCACACTTTAAGCTCTCATTCTTCCTGTGTATGCTTGATCTTGTTGGCATGAATCCAGTAATGTGCTGCACTTCTTGATGTTCCCCATGAGTAATCATCAGTCGCCACAATAGATCCAACAACACTAATTTGTCTTTGGTGTTTCCCCTTCACCTTTTCCCATAGTTGGCTCGGATTCATGCCTTCCTAACCGGCGCTTTGCAGCTGCCACCCTCACAGGGCTTTCTGTGGTCAGATACTGCTGAGATACAGTGAGTTCAGAGAGAGCCCACTGAGGAAAAGATTGATTACTTCCTCTGTTGAGATTCCTTGGCATTACTCAGACGAAGAAGATAGACCTTCAGCGGAATTCCCCGTATAGGTTTCCTCCTCTGAGCAGTTACAGGCAGAAGATGCCAATAATGGTTGGAGCGATTTGTGCTTCAGGGCCTGGTTGTCCTAAATTTACATGAACACTACCTGTGGATTTGACCTTTAAAAAGAAAATGAAAATGTGAAGGGGCACAGGTGTAAAGCCTACTTTTTTGCAACTTCACTAATCTACAAACAAACTTGTGGAGTTTCACCAAATACATAAACCTGTTTTGTCACTTACTGCTTGTAGTATATAGGCATGCAGATAGTTTTCGTTTTATTTGGCCAAGTTCTGACATAGGCCTATCTGGCTCTGAGTTTTATGCAGTAGCTCTAGAGAGCCCACACAAAACAGTATCCACTTTTCATAGAAATTGTTTTCTATGGAAGTAATTCCATAGAAAAATGTGTGTTTGGTGGAATATCCAGAGCAATGGGGACACTACCTCTGAAAAGAGAAATTGCTGTTGAATTTTTACAATATTTTCAGCACCATTAACAAAATCCCATTCCACTCCATTGCACTGGTGTAGAGGCAGAAACGTGAGAGGGAAATATCTCAAAACTCAGTTAAATAAAACTAAAACCCTGCTTATGGAACTAGGTTTTTTTGCAGCATGGCTGGTTTGACTCTTTACTGTGACATGGGAACAAACTCCAGTCTGCATAAATAATTCAAAATATGCCAGTTACAACTCAACAAGCATATTTTCTGTGCATTATTAATGGAAATAGTTAAGGCCATTAGGAGGCCATGCATAAAAACACACAGCATCTTTTAACAACCTCAAAGCACATTAGTATTACCCTGAAGGCAAAATAGAAGAGAGCCATGTCTTTGGAAAAATAAATTTAATTCCAAAGTCGATTACAACACGTGATGACAGAGCACACACAGTAGTGTCCCACAGATTTCTCCTGCTGCACGTCTTATAGCAGCAGCTTGGTGGATGAAATGCTCTCTTCTCTCCCATGTTATTCTTGAAACTGCTCTGTTTTACAAGCCTGTTTGTGAACCAAACTTCCCCAGATGGTCTTAGTTTCATCTTGTAGAACACTTACAACTTTTATGGGAGTTTTGTCTCATCATTATTTAACCCAATACAGTCCACTGGGGCAGGCACCAAAACCATTTTTGCATTTCTGATAGATCCATCATATTTTAAAAGTCAATTAGCCGACTATATAAACCAACTGTACAAATGAAGAGTGACCCATGAATAAACACTATTGATGAAAATAAACCCTAATCAGCATCAGAAAACCTTGATAGCATAGATTTACTGAAGCTATTATCTGTTGTCAGATCAAGAGCTTTAAGTTGAGTTAACAGTAATAGTTGGTTCAAATCCTTTGTTTGCAAATTGAATGACAAGGATATACTTGAAATACAAATTGTGCCTCATGAGTACTTACTATGGCAGTACAATCCACATAGTGCTGTGTGACTGTAAACCGTTCAGTCATCCAAAGCAGGCAACATTGTATTTTACGACCTGTAGAATTCAAACACCTGTAAACATATTTTCTGTGTTCATCATTTAGTAAAGTACAGTTACAGTAACAGTGTCTGACCATGCTCAATTCCTGTGTAAATAGGAATGCTAAGCTTAGAGTCTGGCCAAGGGACATTGTGCTCCTTAAAAGACAACTGTTTGTGTAGAATTCATTGTACGTCTGTTTCACCAGCATGCTCTGCATATTAGTTATTAGAATGAAAAGAACATCCATGGTCAGAAAGCAGCTTTACACTCTATTGACCTTACTTTTACAGTATTCACTTATGATATTAGAACACTGGAAAGAGTTTCTTCATCTGCCGGTGCCAATCTTCCCATCTCGTTATGGGTAAAGTGACCAATGAGGCAAACTCCCAAAATTTCAGAGTAGTCCATTTGACTGTTGTGATGCTGAGATGCTTCTAGACTCCAGGAATGGCCGCTGGAGGTTTTGCCAAGGTCTGCTCTCAAAGGAACATCCCATCCTACTCCAAGTGAAACAGTTTCATCGCCGACTTATTTGTCTCGCACTGTTCCCGTGCATTTTCACACAGTCTCGTCTGTCCTTCACCTGTGAACAAAGAAGGAAATTGCTGGCAATCATCATCACTGTCATTACTGTATACCTATGGGGAATAGCTTAGAACCAAACACATCCAGATGATTTGATATATTTTCCTACAAATAACTTAATAGATTCAGTGCAATTAAAAAGCTGTCTAGAAGTAATAAAAACAGTCCTTCATTTAAAGAATATCTCTGTGCACTCAATGGTGTGACACCTAAAATAAACTAAATCCCGAATGAGAGATCTGAATGTCTAGATAGACTATGATTGTACTGGGATGCACACAGCTCATTCTAACCCCACAGTGACATATGACCTCCCTCTAAACTGGATGAGAATGAGAACATTTCATGAACAGCTCATGACCTGATGAACTGTTGGAAAATTCCAGTCAGGCAGATGTATATTTACTCACAGTATATCTATAGAAATTGAAAAATATCTTAGAACCGTATCTTTCCAAAGAATTCATAGCTCTCCCCCCTACATTTTGATGTGATATAATGAAACATTGCTGAAATAAAAAAAATATATATATACACATGTGTATGTTATTCTGGATGCTAGGATATCTCACCAGCACACATTTCAGTACAAACTAGTTACTAGTACCACACTGTTATTTGATAGTTACACAAAAACTAGCGTCCTGAACGCGCTGACCTTCCCTTCATGCAGATTCGTGTTTCTTTGTCACAAAGGTACATACGCTTTAATCTATCCATTCATTTTTTTCCGCAGGAATGTCGAGGTTTTCTGAAAAATATGGGTCTGTCAACACACTTGTAATCGTTGTGTAGACTATCTGGTAGGACAAATGGTGCAATGGGCTATCAGTCGGGAAATGATAAAAGTTGAAACTATACTGTACTGTGAATAGCTTTACTTATATAAATATCGGCCGTAGTAAACAGCACAGTTTGGGTAATTGTTATAATGTGCTTGATACTCTTGAAAATGAAAAAATACAATAAAATAACCAAATGAACTTTGTGTCATTTAAGAGCGTATATGCGGAATGTTTTACCCCTTTCCGCTGGTTGCTGAGGCAGAAAGTGCAGATAGTTCGGGGCTGTTTTCCTTCTCCGCTGCCTTTCACCTCCTTGTAGACAGCACTCAGGCACGGCTGGCCGTCCTCCCTCCCGTCCCCGACAACCAGCACATTGGCCAAGTGTGAGATATAGCTAGACGCCAGGCGCAGCGTCTCGATTTTGGACAGTTTTCTGTCCACTGGTTCCGTGGGGATAAGTGTCCGCAGCGCCGTGAAGGCCGTGTTGACATTCTGGGTCCGGTGTCTCTCCCTGGCGTTAGCGGCGTTCCGCTGACGCACCACCACGCCGCCGGTCTCCCGCCGGTAACTCTTCCCTGGAGTCCCGCAGCAGCCGTAACCCTGGTCGGTGCTGCCGTCGCTCTCACTGCGGTTTCCCTCCTCGTCGTCCGACATTAAAGTCAGGTCAGCGGGGTAAGAGAAGGGGTGAGTCGACAGCGGCCTCAGCATTGTGAAAGCCATTATAGGTGTGCAAGTGTTTTACTGGGGCAGATCAATCCCGTATTTTCAGAAAACAGCTGCATGCAGACAGAGCCGTGCGTAAAAGTCGCTGTACTCCAAGGTTTAGCCAGCACGAGTCTCCAATTTGTTCTGATACTTCCCCATCGAATGGCCCAGTGTGACAGTTATCGTGACAGGGAGGGCTCTTATAACAGCTACAGCCCATCAGCTGCTGTATGGGGAGGGGTGGAGTACATGTAGAAGCTCCCATCCCAAATGTTTTGGTCTTAAAAATCACAGACATGAGTTTGGTATGGCAAGGTGTGGACATTTGTATAACCAAAAGGACTGAGTCATTCGTTTTAATGAGGGCAAAGCATAGAGCAAACAGCTGTACCTTTAGTAATGCCTTTCTTAAAGCGGTCTCTTCAGGGACATGACATTCTGGACTGGTGGTGTGGTGACCTTTATAAGCAGATGGAGAAACAGAGCCCAGTAGCTCGCTGAATAAGCTGAGAAGAATGAAAATGCTGTGGTGCAACATAAGTAAGGACATTTACTTTTATGATACATTTAAACTGTACACAGTTCAGAAACAAATATTATTGTGTTCACTTGCCTATTCGATATTGTTATATAAGCTGAACAAATAAAAAGCCAGACACAGAATTTGCCTTTTTGTGTACACTGCCCCCCAATATGTTGTACAACCCCAGATTAGTTGCTATTCATATACACAAGTGGCTGAAGTCCATTACTCCCAGCAGACCCCTCAGTCATGGTTCCCAGCTAACTGGTCCCGCCCCCATAACAGAACATGTACATAACAGCAACTCTAGAGCAACATGGTCTCTGTCCATAGGGGCCAGGCAGGAGCTCCGCTGGCATCTCCTAACCCCCAGCATGCTATACAGCCCCCACTTGGCTGGTTAACTGCCATCGTTAACCCACAGTCATCATAAAGTTCTTTAATATGCTGGGAGAGCCCATGCCGCCGCTGGGCTGCTCTGGTGGCTTCTCGCCAGCTGGTGGAGAGGGGTATGAAGGCCATGGCTGGCTCCCAGTGTCCAACTCCCCCTCAGGTGGAGCCAAGAGCCAGTATGGTGTGAAGGACTATTTGGTTCTTCTTACCATTGCTAACTCTGAGAGACGAGACAGTAACTTCAAAACAGTGCTGATTTATTCAAAGGATCACAGGTAAAATTAACATTACACGCTCAGGTATCTTGCACCTCCAAACTGCTCGCAGGCAGATGTAAGATGAAAGACCCTGAACCCACCAGGCCTATACATTATATCACCTCGGTTGGGCTAGCCCCATACTACACAGAAACGTCAACCGAGACGTCTCTGTTACCAGCTTTGCAGCTGGTCATAGCAGTAGTCAAAACATGAAGCAAATCAATGTGTGAATGTGTATGTCTGTTGATTAAGTGGTGTGTAACTAAAAACATTCTCACGACCTCTAGTACATGTCGTGACTTAAACATAAGAACATATTATGGCTAAGGCTACAGTTATACACGTTGTAATAATAATATTAAACACCCTGTCTGCTGACAGTCATCAACTTTTCTCTCTAGTTATCCTTGACCAGATGTACCTTGTAGAAACTCATAAGCATGACTAAGCATTTAACAGTCTAACTAGACATCCTATCTCCACTAAACATTTCTAATACATAAAGTATCTATCCAAGTTCTATCTGACTAAAAATACCTAACAGGTGCAAGTCTCTTTCTGCAAAGTACCACCCTCCATTTCCATGTGATCAATCTCACCCAGTACACCACATCTAACAGTCTTTTCAGCACAGCACAGGGTCCACTCCACTGGCTCGCTAGATTGGGGGACAGCCCTTTCTTCTGTCCAGGGCTGTACATCCACACCAGTGTGCCAGGGACAAAGTTCTCTCTTTTGTTGTGAGCATCCTGGGCCCATGTCTGGCATGGCCCCCTGTCTGTTGGTGCCCCCACCTGGTCCTGCTGCAGGGGAGCATACGAGGGCTGGGTCAGCCTCCTCCAGCTGCTGGCGGGGAAAATGGCTTGTAGGATTGCTACCTGTTCTGTGTCAATGTACCAGTCCTCAGTGCACCAACCACATCAGTGCTTCTTCCTTCTGCACCTCCTTTCATATGAACCATCAGCGAGTTGTCTGGTCCCAGTAGACACTGCCCAGGAAAGTGGTGTAAGCGTGGCTGAGCCCCTGGCTAGCCCTGGCGATGTGGGTGACCCTCCAGCTGGTTGCTCCAACACAGCAGGTGGCCACAACCCTCCTCTACCTGCAGCATGGAGAGCCACAGCATCTGCAGCCAGGCAGAGTGTAGTCTCAAGCACATCCACTACGACCCCCCACTCCACCAGCAGGTCAAGCCTAATGATGCATAGATCTTGGATGCCAGCAAGCCCGAACCGATGCCCAACAGTGTGGCCAGCAGCAGTCATTTTGAGTACCCTCTCTACCCTCATCTTAGCACTCTCGCCAGTCCCCAAGCACACCAGGGAAATAGTGTACCCTGTGTCCACCAAGGTACACCACATGGTGTCGTCAAGTTTATAGTACAGGTCTGAGTGTCCATCCCAGGTGGCCGACCCTCAGCTGTGGCAGGTCACATATAGATGAACTGTCCGGGGGTGCTGGGCAGTGGTGTGTAAAATGGCCCTGCTCCCCACAATAGTAGCATCCCTCTTTGCATTGTTTGGGCACTCTCATGCTTCCACGTGGTGGTGGTGTTGTGACAATGATCTGGCAGGCTGCCTTTTTGTGTGCATTGCACAATTTTTGTCCAGAAATTGTAGGCATTGTGTATAGAGTTAGAAGCAAAAATAATGAAATTGGTCCTATGTCACAATGGTGAAGAATCTTTTAAAAAAATCCTGGATCCAGATGATGATCTGTATCAACATCAAATTCTAATGGATTGTTCTGTGGGCTGTAACCTCCTCTCCAAAAAATTCATCCAAATTCATTAATTAGCATACTTTTTTAAGTTATACTGTGAGCAAACAAACACTGATAAAAAAAAACATTACCTTCTCCTCAGTGGAAGTTATAATACTTATAATATTGGTATAACATTAAGATACACAAACAAGTCAAGCTTTGACATCAGTACAACATACGCGCATATCATGTGTAAGCTGTATGTCACACTGGCCACATCAATTTGACCAGTGTTTGATTGGTTGTTGTGTCTTGTTGCTTTTCTTCTTTTCTCTCTCCTCTATCCACTCACCCCAACCAGTCGAGGAAGAAGGCTGCCCACCAAGAGTCAGGGTCTGTCGGAGGTTTCTTCCGTTAAAGGGAGTTTTTCCTCCCCCGCTGTCACCAAGTGCTGCTCAAGGGGGATTTGCTGGGCTTTCCTCTATAATAACAGTGATAACAGTAAGGTCTAGACCTTACTTTGTAAAGTGTCCTGAGATGACTTTTGTTGTGATTTGGCGCTATACAAATAAATTTGAATTGAAATTGAATTATATTTCTAGATTATGGAAACAGTCTGTCGTATTTCTTCAGAGGGCCAGGGTGATCAGTGGCTCCACAGTTGTCCTGTTTCAGTTTGTCTAATGGGTTAAGTGTTGTGGGTAAATAAACACTCAGCAGATGCTGAGGGTGTTCAAGCCTGAACTTTCTCTGTGGAAACCAAGCAAATGGTTTCCAGATTGACTGGTGCTGCTAGGGGGGGTCCAGACTGCTGCAACATGCAGGGAGTGTCATCAAAGGGTCTGCTTTTACAAACACATTCATTCAACACATCAAACCGGGTACCGGCGACCCCTGGCCCCCAGCTCAGCTGCACCAACAACGGCGACCTGTGGGGAACCTGGTTCCACTTATAAAGTGGGACACCATGGTGTTTTACCACGCTCCACCAGCCAGCAACACAACCCCTGTGTACTTTCACCCATCTAGCACCACCAACACATCACAGTTTGCAACCATAAATAATTCACTCCCCGAGCCCCTCTACCCCTTACATCAACTCGAAGGAATGCCTTTAAATGCCTGGTGAGGTGATTAAAGCACTAATGAAGTGTGTAGAAGTTGCAAAAATGAAACTTCTTAATCTAGTCTGAGTTTGAAGCTGGGATGGGATGACACTGCTAATAATATAGCGTGATGTGAGTCAAAATTGTACTGTACTGTCCTTGCTATAGAAAAAAAGTCTTCTGACACAGCAAATAGACCAGTGTGAGTTGCTAAAAAAAGTCTATAAAAAGCTGTTCAAGCCACAGTACTAGTATAATTTTATGTGGGTTACTGGGTCCTTCAAAGGGAAGGCCACTCATTTTAAGAATGTACAAATGTTATTACCAGTCACCAAATAGTTCACAGTCTAGGATGACATGTAAAACTGAACTGCTACTCTACTTTTGGCTGTTCCCGTTAGGGGTCCCCACAGCAAATCCGATTTGCATGAGTGAATTTGGCACGTTTTTACACCGGATGCCGTTCCTGACACAACCCTTTCTATTTAAGCGGGCTTGGGACTGGCACAGGAGTCACTGGCGTGAAATCCCTTAGGCTAGATACACACTCACTCCTAGGGGCAATTTAGAGTCTCCAGTCAACCTAAGCTGCATGTCTTTGGACTGTGGGAGGAAGCTGGAGTACCCAGAGAGAACCCATGCAGCACAGGGAGAACTTGCAAACTCTGCACAGAAAGGCCCAAACACAGAATCTTCTAGCTGTGAGGCAACAGTGCTACATGTAAAACTGAACCAATCAAGTTTAAAAAAAATTTTTTTTTATTAATAATGAATTCACTGAAGAGCAAGGCAGCTTTATTTGTATCGCACATTTCAGTACACAGAGGGAGTTCAAAGTGCTTTACACAGACAAAGAGAAACATTAACGACATTAAAAACAATAAGCATTGCATTACACTGTATGAAAGTATGCATAATGTAAAATATAGCACTTACACTGACAGGCCTATCTATTATTATCACCCAACCTACCTCTTGAAAGTTTTTAGCTACTTTTAGTTCATTGTTCTTGCAGGCAGCTGTTTTCAAAACAAAACTGATAATACTTGATAAACCCAGTGCATGCTCCCTCAGCTTTGAACAGCAGATAACACTGACAACAAGGAAGTGCAGAAAGTCAAACATGAAGTGACTAAAGAGCCATCTCACATTGGCCATCTCACATTCACTAGTTGGGCACAAACATGGCTCTAAAC